ACTCTAGACCTGACCCCCTCCCACGGCCTGCAGCCTCTCCCACCCTCCAAACCCCTGCACCAGCACAGAGCCCCACCCTGCACCCCAAACCCTTCTTCCCCAACCCTGCCCAGACCTTGCACCCCCAGCTGAGCCCTTACCCCTTCCACACCCTGAACCCCTCTTTTCCGACCCCAGCCCAGGGGAAGTGAGTGAGGGGGGTGAGATTGAGCAAGAAAGAGGAGCTGGAGTGAGAGGGGGCGGGGCCTCAGAGAAGGGGCGGGGCAGGGGTTGGCTCTCAGAGCAGGGCTGTTCGGGTTTGTGTAATTAGACAACGGTAGATTTTCACTGATCAGTGCCTGCGAAGTGGCTGTTGGTTGGCAAGTGGCTGGCGAGGGGAAGCTGCCGGATTTGCTGGCTGGGCAGAGGATATCTGGGACTCCTGGCACTGGAGAACAGTTTGGGATTGTGCAATAAATCATAATAGTTGGGGCTTCATTCCAACATGCTCAGCTGTGAATTGATATATAATGATTTGAACTCAGCACCCCTGAAAAGCAGGCCTGGGACAGGTACAGCGCAGGATTTACACTAAATAATTCAACTATCTGCAAGGTTTGCACCGTTATTCAGAGTTTGATCTGCAAATATGTCGGAGAAAATATGGACCTTTTCATTGATACCAACAATTCTACCCCCAGCAAGATTACTTATATGAACATACCCCTTCAAACTATGTATGTATCCACATTTAACGAGAACCGGTTTGTGAGAGAATTCAGATCCAATTAATTGTTTAGAGCACAATCAAGAGATCTCCACTGGAGAAAGAAATATAAGTTACATATAGAACAAATAAGGCAATTTTTATACACACTTCGTACCCAATGAGAACATCTCTGATGTGACGGGGCGAGACATTTCAGTTTTAATTCGGTGCCTCTCAAGGGAGTTTTCCAGGGATCTGTTCATATTTACTTCGTAGCCCTGGCATTGCCAGAGTAATTCCCATCCTTGCAGGGAGATGACTTACTTGAGGGTGTAATGAGGGTGGAAGAGATGGTGGAAGTGCAAAATCCAGTGTGTGATGGAATTTCATCTCTTTTGCCATTACATCTTCTATTGGGAAGCAACACAAGAGAGCTGACTGGGCTTTCAAAAAACTCTGTTTTAAATTTATTGGGCAAATGCCACGAGGAAACCAACCTTTCGTTTAGGGATGTTAAATTGCGGTTAATTGACTAGTCAAGTACAGGAAACCCTGCAGATGCGATCTTCTGAGCTGTGACCCCTCGCACTTACAAAAGTCTTTTTAAGTGCAGAAGGGACGAAAACCCCTGACGTGTGTTCTCAGCCCGCATTTACGACAGTGCATGATGCCTATCGTAAATGCGGGTTCGAGTTATGACACCCCGACTTGTGACACTTCCCCAGGAACTGATCACGTTGCAAGCTGGAGGCTGCCTGGGCTCTTGTGCATTTCAAAGGGTAAGTGCCCTCATGGAGCCTGGCATCAGTGGGCTTTCCCGTTGGCCCCAGGCTGCACACGGCATGCCACCTGTGAAATGTACAAGAGTCCCCAGTGGCAGCTCTTGTGCATTTCAAAGCCATGGAGCCCGGGGTCAGCAGGGGACTCCATGCTCTGCTGCATTTCAGCAGAACCTGGGATCAGGTGGGGGCTCCCCAGCTGACCCCAGGTTCCGCGTGGCACTTCCCCAGAACCTGGGGTCAGCTGGGGAATGATCCCAGGTTCTAGGGAAATGCCTCTCGGAACCTCGTGTCAGCTGTGGAGTCCCCAGCTGACCCCGGGCTCCACAGCGCTGCCCCTTTGAAACGCCAGAGACAGTTTTTTAAAGATCAGCTGTGTGGCCGCTGCCCCTTTGAAACGCAGTTTGGGGGTTTCAAAGCAGCAGCTGCCACTTTGAACGACCCCTTCTTCTCCCCTTCCCCCCCCGCCTTTGCTGCCTCTGTTGATAGAGGCAGCACAGGGGAAGGAGGATTCACTAGTCGACTAACTATCCGATCACATTTCCCGATTGGATAGTCGACTTGTCAACTAGGCTGTATCATCCCGACTTTTGTTTTTGTCTCAAACTGCACTTCACACAGCAAACCAGAATGTTCCAGCAAGTTGTAACAGACAAATTACCCTTGCACGTAAATCCACTGGGGACATGAACAAGGAGAAGAGGAGAACACAAGTAGTTTGCCTGCAGTGGGAAAAATCATTATTCTAGAAAATACACTAACTCGTTTAAACTAACTAACCCAGTGGCACATAGGATATTGGTGCATTTGAAAGTCACTTAGGTGCACAAGTTCCATTGACAATCGAGGGGTCTTAACTCACTTTGGTTCTTTTGAAAACTCCAGCCTTTGCTCCGCGCACACACACTCACAGAGGTGAGGGAGAGGGGCGAGAGGAGCCCGTTCTATGGGGATAGAGGGGGCACCTTAGGGGCACAGGGAAAGCTGCCAGGGTGAGCACCAAAGGGAATCCCCGTGAGTCACCCGGAGGAACGGATGGATTCTCTCCCCGGTGAAAGGGGCCGGCGGGAATGTGATGATCGATTCCCCGCTACCAGCATCATAAAGTGCCACCCGCCCCCCTTCATAGTCCAGATACACCCGGACCCTGCGGGGTGACCGGTGCAGGGGCAAGCGGATGTGCTGCTCAGGGGCAGTGAGAGCCCAGCACTGATCCCCTGTACCCTGCACAGCCCAGACCCCCTGCTCACGACTGAAGTCGACCCGTCCCTTCCTCCTCACAGACTCCCTGGCCACCCCCAGAGACCAGAGACCCCATCCCTCCACCTCCACCTCCCAGTAACGGCGGCCCGAGGTGAAGCCCTCCCGGCCCAGCACACAGAGCTCTGTGTCAAATCTCTCCGGGGTGTCGGGCAGTCGCTGCCGTCTGTGTACCCATCTCACGCTTCTCTGATTGAGCAAGGGATGGGCCGTGTCTGGATCCAGAGTCACGTTGGCTGGGGAGAGAGAATCCGAGCGTGAGGGGCAGAGCCCGGCCCTGGGGAGGGTCCGATCCTGCCCGGGACAGAACCTGCCCCAGCTGGGGAGTGACTCAGGCATCTCCCCCCTCCAGGCTTCCCCCCGCTCTGTCCGGGGAGCAGTGCTGAGTGCTCAGCCCCGCGCCGGGGGACTCACCCAGACCAGGGACAGGGGCCGGATCGGCTCTGCTGAGCCAGGCCCCCACCCCACAGTCTGACTGGCAGACTCACAGCTCCTCCAGTCTTGGGCTTGGGGAAAGACGGGGGCGGGGGGTCCCTTCCAGCTCTATGCGATAGGTATCTCTCCATGTATTATATGTTAAAGCCACAATGAGCTGCTGTTAATGGTGATTAGAAGGGGGGTGAGGGCTTTTGTTTGACTTTCTGTCCTTTTTCTTACTATAGCACTCATGCATTTGCTAATAGTAATAATATGCCCAGGGGATGTGATACACGTGCAATGCAAGTGAGGTGGGATGGCCTTCTCTGATTTTCCAAAAGACTCATGTTTAAACTTGTAGATTTCTAAGGAGATACCCTGCTGGCCTCCTCTCCTCCACCCAGCCCCTCTGATTTGCCCAACCACTACATCGACATTCTAACTTATAATACGATTATTTGCTGTTTAAGTTTTTTATAATACCAAAAAGAATCTACTTCTCTGGTTTTAGGAAAGATCTGTGTAGCCACTGCTAATATGCTGTTCAGATCCCGCCTAATGCAAAACGGCCAGAAAACCTGAGCTATGGTGCTGCCGATGAGCCACCATACTTCATAGGAAAGTTTTCACACAGACCCCCCTTGGATCCCAGAAATTTACCTTTGAGGAACGGCAGTCTAGACGCCAGTGTGTCTAAAGAAGAAACGAGTGAAAAAGATTCAGTGTCGTGTTGATGAACAGTCACGTTATTAACGTTCTAGCACAAAAGAAAAATGAAAAGAAAACAAAGTGCACTAAGTTACTAGCACACTTACCCAGCAGTGCTCAGCTCTTTAAGGAGGGGTCCAGGGCAGGTGTGTGCGCGTCTGTGTGTGGGCAGAGAGGCTACAGAGTCCTACCAGGGCTGCTTGCTCTTCCCCTTCCCATCCCCGTCAAAGAGTGAGAGCTTGCTCTTCCCCTTCCCATCCCCGTCAAGGAGTGAGAGCAAAGCGCACAGCTTGTCTGCCCCCTGCGCTCCCCAGCCAGCAAACTGCACTTTCCCCAGCTCCCTGGTGACGGCAAACAGCCAGCAATGTCCCTGTACAAATCAGATGGGAGGGAGCCGACTTCAGACATCTGCCCTCCCTAAAGAGCACCTGGGGGGCGGTGAGAGGCTCAGAGCTGGTGTAGCCCCAGATGGGAGGGTGCACCTCCACCCAGCCCCCTTCGCCTGTCTAATGATTGTCTCCTTCCTGTATGGTTTTCTGAGAAGCAATCCCATGTCAGCCAGCCAACCCCTCACCTTGCTTTAAGTCAAGATAAGAGGGAGACTGGAAAAGGGCAAATCTAGCGCCCATCTACAAAAAGGGAAATAAGAACAGCCCAGGAAACTACGGAGCAGTCAGCTTTACTTCAACGCCAGGAAAGATAATGAAGCAAGTGTAAGCAGGGGCTGAACTGCTGCTTGCTATCAGCCAGCTAAAAGGAGGCGTGGGTGCACCCACTACAAATAATTAAGGAATTCTCCTGCAAACATCTGGAAAATCATGAGGTGATAGGGAACAGCCAGCATGGATTTGTAAAAAACAAATCATGTCAAACCAATCTGATAGCTTTCTTTGATAGGATAACAATGCTTGTGGATAAGGGAGAAGTGGTGGATGTGGTATACCTAGACTTTAGTAAGGCATTTGATACGGTCTCGCATGATATTCTTATTGATAAACTAGGCAAATACAACTTAGATGGGGCTACTATAAGGTGGGTGCATAACTGGCTGGTTAACAATTCTCAGAGGGTAATTATTAACAGTTCACAATCCTGCTGGAAGGGCATAACAAGTGAGGTTCCGCAGGGGTCTGTTTTGGGACCGGTTCTGTTCAATATCATCATCCATGATTTAGCTATTGGCATAGAGAGTGCTCTTATTAAGTTTGCAGATGATACCAAGTTGGGAGGGACGGCAGGTGCTTTGGAGGATAGGGTCATAATTCAAAATGATCTGGGAAACGAGAAACGGTCTGAGGTAAATAGGTTGAAATTTAATAAGGACAAGTGCAGGTTAGACAGACATCTGTCAGGGATGACCTAGACGGTGCTTGGTCCTGCCGTGAGGGCAGGGGACTGGACCTGATGACCTCTCAAGGTCCCTTCCACTTATCGTGTTCTGTGACCCTATGATTCCATGTAGCTGTCTGCTGAATTTGGTGGTCCTAATTCATTCTCAAGGTCCCTTCCAATTATCATGTTCTGTGACCCTATGATTCCATGTAGCTGTCTACTGAATTTGGTGGTCCTAATTCATGTTGTGTCCTCTCCCCCCTCTTCTACACTCCCTTGGGTGAAGCACCAATAATATTGATTTTGTCTTTGGGAAAAGGGCCCGTGACAGAAAAAACGTTCTCCACCCCTGCTCGAAAGCAAGAGAAGGGCTATGACCCAGAAGGACTTGCAGACAACAATCCAAACAAACACGCTTCAAAAACAGTTAATTCAGCAGG